GTGGCCTAGAGGTTAAAGTGTTCGCCTCTTATTCAAAGGTCCAGGTTTCGAAACCGGGTAGCGACGGAAACATTTTCTCTCTAAAATTGTCCCCTTCCACCTCCTTTCCTGCTCTCTGGCAGTGCCCCCACCCGCTCACCTCTTTTGCCCCCTCCTCGGGGGTCCTGACTCTTTCTGCAACCTTTCTACTGCTACTCCTTGGCTCCTTTTTACTGCTGTCTTTCAGCCACACCCCTGATCTTTCGGTAGGAAAGATCTATACCTAGCCTTTTGGGACAAGAGCAGAAAGACTTGGAGTTCCCGTGTGCAAATTGCGCATATTAAAGATCCCTTGGTGGTCTAAAATCGATCGAGTTGGTTTCGGCTGCCACCAGGGAAAAATTCAAACTAACCGAAAATGTTTAATGAGTCCCGCGCGCTCATATGACGTTATGCAGTTGCGAGCGCCTTAAAAACATTTACCACCCCCTCCCCCCGAAACATTGGGGTAGACCTTCAAGTAAAACAAAAACATTGTGGTAGACTTTCAAATAAGGTAGATCTTCAACTAAACCAAAAAACACCTTGGTAGACTTTCAAATAAGCCAGAAACACCGTGGTAGACCTTCAAGAAGACTAGAAACATCGTGGTAGATCTTCAACTGCCCCCCCCCCTCCCCCCTCCCCGCCATCCTCTCTCCTAGGTGTTCCGCACATTCTGATCGTCATCACAGACGGCGCGTCCAGCAACCGGTCAGAGACTGTCAAAGCCGCCAATGCCACGAGATCAGAAGGAACCGAAATAATGGTTATTGGTGTCGGCAGGTAACGTAAACTATGGATAGAGGTCGCTACCTCAGAATTACAAAGTTCTATCTGCTCAGTGCTTAGTTTTGAGAAATTTGACGTAAAAAATATGTCAAGCTTTTTCAAATTTTATCCTTTGAGTACATCGATAACGACTTGGAACAATTTTACGAATTTGATAGAGCAGATAGAACATTGATTTCTGGCCTTATGGTCATAGTAACTCAAAACACCAACAATGTCAGATATGACTTTGCAAATCTGAGGAGGAGAGGTATCAATAGTATTCTTTCTTTCGAGGCGTTGTCCGTCCACCGCATGATATAGCCCTCCAACAACGACCTCTACTTTGTTTTTTCATCAGCTGTTTTCCGTGTCCAGGTTGTACGATTCTGTTCTCTGCCACATTTTCCCTGGTTTTTAATGGTATAAAGTTATCAAAACATTAATCAAACCCACCTCATTCATGTGCAAAGTAAAGAGCTTAACCGAGGGACATATACCACATAGAGAGGTCAAAGGAACATGAATGAATTATGAGTAGGCTAAAATATTCTCGCAGAAAACACGCTACTCAAGAGAAGTGGAGCAGCGATAAGAAAAATTATCTTTAACTCTCAGACGTCGGTACGTCTACTGACAGGATGCTGATCTCTTGTTTTGTCTTGTGTTCCTCATTCATCACAAGTATCTGCCTACCTGCCCAGCAACTGCATCCTCATATATCAAATTTTCATTTCTTTCTAATCATTTTGGTCGGCAATACATGCTTAAGGCTTGAAGCTTATCATTTTTATGCTGAAAATGCCAACATTTACTATTTCAAGTTAATCTTTTTGCAGCAAAACAAAAAATAGCTTTTCAACTGTAAGAAAAAAGATCGAATCATTTGGCAGTATTGGAGGGTATGAACGACGATGGCCAAGTAGCTGTGCACCCTTCCCTTTTTTCTTATTAATACAACGAGTTAGTTTTCTTCTTTCCTTACCCACCCCCTCGTTCCGCCCGTTTCCGAACGAAATAAGTAAATAAACGAACCTAAGAATAAACAGCTACTAATATAAATACACAAATATAATAAATAGAATACTACGTGGATTAAACGAACAAATAGATAAGCAAATTACATGAAACATGGAAGATAAACGAATACACGAACAAGTAAACAATTGAACCCATCAATACAGGAATGGGTAGATTATGATTTCTTCCTTGCTTTATCATGTCCTATAGAAAGCATGTTAACTATTTTTCATGCCCTTTCTCTTCTCCCCCCCCC